AGCCATCTCCAGGAAAGCAGGGGTCAGTCACGCGTAATGGTTACTTGGGAAGACAAATGCCATCACTCTGAACATCCTTCCTTCCTTCTTCCCCCGGCTTTATATGTTGAGCATGATGTCATATGGTATGGAATATCCCTGTGGTGAGTTGGGGTCAGCTGTCCCAGCTGTGTCCTCCCCCACAACTTCTTGTGCACCCCCAGCTTACTCGCTGGCATGGTGGGGTGGTGTGAGGAGCAGAAAAAGATGCACCGTATTTCAGAAAACTTGTCCCTTCCCATTAGCTCCAGAGAAGCTGATTTCCTAAGCATGCCCAGGAGCCAGACCGAACTTTGGGCTTTTCAACACTCAAACACTTCTAGAGTGGGAAAGGAAGTCTTGCTGGACTTCTGTGCTGCAGGTCCTGGCATTACAAAAATCAATAGCTGAGTGGGAAAATAAGTTAACAAATACCCTCCCATGGAAGCAGCCTACTTTAATATTGTTTTGTGGCTCTTAAATCCTCTTATCTTTTTCCTCTTGTCCTTGCAGTTTCATTCTTTCCATATTCAACAGGAGCAAATTCATCAGCATTGCAACAAACACTTGCTATCTGACAGCCTCTTTGCTTGTTATACCAAACCTACACAATGCTTGATAGGAAACTGAGAGGATAAATTCAGGAATAAACATAAAACAATGCTGTGGATTGGAATTCAGCTGAAATGTCAGCTGAATGCTGATAATGAACATCGTAACTCTATTAAATTGTTCTTGAGTAGATAGGGAGTCACGGTGGGGAAGTAAAAGAAAGAATTAAATTAAGTATATAACAGGTGATGGGTGCTGTAAATGAACTCACCTGTCTGACAGCTTAGCTTTTATGATGGAAAAATAGGCTTTCTTGTATGCATTTTTTAAATTTTTAAAAATTTTACAGCCTAATACTCCTGTCGCACTATTATGCAGCCTAATACTTCTATTCCAGGCTTAGGAGTACGCTTTCAGGGAATTAATTGGGAGCAGTGAAAAAGAGGAATCCAGGCCATAAAGTGTTGGTTGCTGTTACTTAGGTTGAAAATAATTTATAATTTACAATCTTTTTTTCAAGAAATGTGTTGTCAGCTTTTCAGAAGTAGGAGGACAAAGTACACTATGTTACTTCTATTGAGCCAATAAAGAACTGTCTGCTGAACGGTGCCCACCATAAATATGTCATACCTCATAGAGCTAAACACTGTAATAGAAGGGCATTATTATAATGAGAAACTGATTAATAAAACCCTGCAATAATATGACATACTCTTTCTTGATTGTGCTTCATTTTATAAGTACACTCAAAATAATTCCACAGGGAAGAAAAATAGGAGCTTAAGAAAAAGTGGTTTAAATAAGCTGATTAAAATACAGATTGCATTTACAAGCTAAACCTTGGCCTTAGTGACTCTCTGAATTACTAGGGGCCTAACAGGAAGAAAGCAAAACAAAGCAAGTGCCATTGCAGTGGAACTATATGCTAGTGAGTGATTCAAATGCTGCTGCTTTGTCCCCTGAGCTGAGTAGGTCCAGCAGGTTCCTGTTGCCTGTTTTGGGAGTGACAGAAGGTGGTAAATCCATGCCATACTGACCCTTGAGTCCGGTCTTTCCTGTGTTTCTGATTTGCTTCCCCATTCCTTCTCTGACACTGAGATCTGGTGAAATTACATATCCCAACCTTCTAGAACACAAAGATGAGGAAACCTGTTTGCAAATGTAGTCGTTATTTTAGCTCATTTTTTCTATTAAGGAAATACATTATGTCACCTTCTTTCTTGGCCAGTGTAGATTCTGAGTTTCAGACACATCAAGATTTTTTTGGAGCAAATGTATGTAAAGCATCTTTGAAGGTATATCTTTCAAAAGAAACCACTGAGTTTCCTGGTACAGGAAAATGGTAATGATTTTAGCTTAACATGTTTGCATTTGTAAGGATGGTAGGCTGGGCTGGTGTGGCCCTACAGCATGGGAAGATGAATAATAGCTAGCGGTAGTTAGATCCCCTGTGATTCTTTTGTACACACTAATCACTTTGAAAATTGAAGAGTAACAAACTTAGGGAAGTGTTATAGGGCAATTATACATCACCAGGAAGTTTTTTATTACATTTACATAAGAAAAACCTTCTGGGGTACTTGCAGTATTTTTCATGTCAATCAGTAGCTCTAGGCTTTGGATGCTGCTCTAAGCAAGGTATCTGTTTTCAAAGGAGGAGATGGAAATGTTGCTTGACCGAGTGGATCAAAGTACTTCATAATAAAGGTAGTTTTAATTCAATAAGAAGGAAGAATTTATCATAGGGCATAGTGTTTTCTTCTGTCCAGACTCCTTGACAACAAATTTAATAGCCCAGACCTGCAGGGTTTGTGACCTAGTCCGTGAAGGTAAAGTAGAGGCTGGGCAGTGGGAAGTGTTCACCTAGTAAATGCAGTGTAGTGTTGTATGTGTCTACTCACTGGCCATGTGATGTTACGTGACAGGATTTGGAAAGGTAGACTGTCCGGACTCAGTTTATAACAACTATTCCAGCTTCCTCCTCCTTTGTTAATATTTTTGTAGCACATCTTTCTTGTGGTATATGTGCTGTAAACAGTGCTTATTTTTGCAGAATGAGGATAAAGAAGTTACTAAAGACTTAGAAAAATGTTTTAAATACTGGTTGTCTTCATTGAGCTACGTCAGACATTTGAGTCTAATCTTATGTAGAAATGCAAAATATTCTATTTTCATTTTGTCACATTTTGAATATCTTCTTCCTCTTACACACTGAGGAAAGTAGAACAGAAATAACTCTCTTGATGAGCTACTCTGTTTTAAAAAGACTTGGGCGAGTCAGCTACATAGAACTGGATGGCAGGGGTAACAAAAAATTATCCTTAACAATCCCTTGTAAGATGAAAAGAATGATGGAAGGGAGCGTCTGTCTCCTGCTGGATGCTTTATACATTCAGAAATTTAACTTGCTAACTTGCTTTTTCCATTCCTGCAAGTGTTCTAGGATTCATAAATAAGAAACAAACCAGTTTATACGGTAGCTGTAAAGAAGAAGGAAGAAAGTATCTAGGTCAATCTCTCTTGACATGTGTTTATATGATGCAGTTCAAAGCTTCAGAAAAATTCCATGAGAGATTTGACTATGTAAATATTTGTTAGTTGTCAGATTTGAAAATGAAGAAAATGCAACAGGTCAAATCCTGAAGCACTAACATCGTTCTTTTAAACAAGGTCCAAATGGGACATTTTTAACTTAACCATAAATGGACTGGAATGTCTTACTGTTTTAAATCTCCTTTCCTGTCCTGTATGCTTTTTACAGATCTTAAAAATGTTGCTTAAAAATCTATGTTTCCTCTGGAATGACTTCTACTGAATTCCATTAGGATTTTTAGGGAGAAAAACCCCACACTATTATTGTGATGAAGCTGCAATTAGCATAAATCCATAGTCTTTCTTCAAAGTCAGGTAAGGCGTTCAGTTGCATAAAACATATTCTGCTATTCTTAATAATGCAGAGAGAGGATGCTCTGAGGTGAGAAGAAGGAAAATCAGGTGAAAATGTACGTAAATTAGCCAGTCCAGGGCTGTACTATTTTTGCATTTATTTTTATCAGCAGTCTTGTTAAAAACAAAATTTCAAATAACGTTTTTAGTGGTTAATTCCTCATCAGAGTATGTAAAGGTGCTGCAATCTGGTGTCATATATTAAAATACAAAATCAGTTTCTCAGTACGGAATGCTTGAGAATTGTTGTTGTAGCCTTGGATTACCCTATATATGGTGTTGTGTACACAAAGACTGCAGAATTAAAGGTTTTAGTCTAGTTGTGCACTTCTGAAATAAGTTTTTATTATCTTTTAATCCCCTGTTCTCAGTAAGTGAAATAATTGGTGGGGTTTGTTTAGATTTATTTTATAAAAGTGCAGGAATAATTTTATAAGCTTGGAAGTTATTAGATTTAGAAAACAAAATTGTATGAATGTATAATTTATACAGGGAAAAAACCTAAGAAAGTCATATTTTCATTAGTTTCCCAGGTCATGCAGATTTCTTAGGTGTTTGAGACTGCTATTTATATTGCAGAATTTCTTCATGTTGCGTAAGAATTCTGGTAATTTTTGGATGCCCTTTCAAAAACAGTTTGCAGAGAAGTGTCTCACCTGCTCAGAGACCATTCGTCAGTTTAGAAGAGAGTGCTAATTTTATACCTGATCCCCAACACCCAGCAGCACATGGCACAGCTGCCCTGCCACCACTGGCAGGGCTACTCATAAGCTCAGCCTCTTACCTTATTTCTGTCAAGTACCATCTACTTGCACAAGAATTTCCCTGAAAACTATCCATGTGAGGAAGTAAATGCCACTCATCTGGATTAAGGCGTCCCCAGTGACAATGGTAGAGACAAGACATTCACAGCTGGATAGGGATGGTGCTAACCAAACAGGTAGGGATAATGATGATTGGTTTGCTGGTTAATAAAGAAGGCATGCGTGTATGTAGACAAACCACATGACATGGCTACCACTCTGTGGGTTTCCAAGTTGCTATCTTTTGTTTCATCAAACTTCTGTACCTAATCGTGTGTCTGGGAATGCTTCCTACTGATCTGAATAGGGCTGAGGAAAGGGGACTGACTGTGCCGTTGGATATGCCCTCGGCAGAGCCTTCCTAGCTGTAACACTTGCAACAGTATTTCACAAAAACCAGCCAGGACCTGGATTCAAATCTCATGGAAGTTAGATCCTTCGCCTACCCTTCACCCTGCCCTGGTTTAAGCATGTCTAATACTGGACGGTGGACTACTGAAGTGTGATATAGTTCTTCCCAGTGACTTCAATAGGTTTTGGATCTGATGAGATTTTAAGGAACGCTTTAAACTTTGTGGCTGCCAAAGCTATGTTATGGATGGCCAAGGCAACTCCCCACTCAGTTTTCATTGGCATTTTACTGCTCAGTTCAAGACGACTGTCTCTGCGAGTAAGGTAGCACTCACCACAAATAGGGAGGTCAGCATCCTGAAGTATTACAGAAGAAGGCATCCTTTCTTCCTTAAAGAAAGAAAACAAAGAAATTTGATTATAGTGCCACAATCTTAGGATAAATAATGTAGGAAAAAAAAAAAGAAAAAACCCTCATTATTGCTTTAATGAAGAATAATAACTCACTGATTTTTTTTTTCCTTGATGTTTCAGGAACATCTACTACAAACACTGATGCACAGCAGATACCTAATAATAGCAACAGGAATTTAGATTTAATGTGAATATCTCTCCTTGAAAACAGGTGGTGCTTGTGTCATGGCAGCTTCTGGGTCTTTGAAAGTACATAAAGGGCACAGTCTCCAAGCTGGTAAGTAGAAGTGGTGACAAGGTATGTGTGTGCATGTAAATTTAACTTAAAATTAAATTATTCTAAACTTCAGAAAATGTTAAAGGTAATGTATGACTTGATTCTCTATTGTAAGACATATTTCTTTGGGTCTTTTGCTTGGCAGGGTTTTTGTTAGAAAGGCATTGACAGATGGGCTAAGTTTAGAAGAGGCAGTGACAGATGAGATAAGTGTCAGAGCATAGGCAGTAATCTTATTCACAGCAGTAAAACGCTGCCAGCGTTTTAACAAAGAGCACCCACCAAAAAAACCCCACCTTGGGCCATGACAAATCCTAAAGATACTTCTTCACAATAACGGAGGAAAAAACCCACCAGCCATAAAATTACAAGTGTTTGTCCTTTAAAATTAATCCAAATATGTTTGTTATATGGGCATAGCTTTTTAGCTTGCCTTGCATGAAGTGGGGTGGAGTTTGAGATGATGGGGGAACCTGGGCATCTTTTTTCAGCTTAGTGCTCTGGAACCACTGGTGATGATGTGCAACCTGGCTTCTTGAGAAGATGATGATTTGCACTTGGAAAGCAAAGTTATCTTTGGAAGGGCTAGTTTAAGCATTTTCTGCAGAGCTTTGTCAGAAATCAAGAACTCATCCATCATGCTGGAGGTGGAATTTTTACAAAAGTCTTCCAAATACTCCCAAGTTGCCCACGTACTTCCTGATTCATGCATTCAAGACAGCTTTGCTCCACATCGATGTACAGCCAAACACACTGTTGACTTCAGTGGTCTTCAGTGTCCTTTCCTTGCTGTTGCAGTCACTAGAAATTGCTGGTAACACAACTACAGAAAAGTCACCACTAGCCACTCTCTATACTTTCTGAGATCTTCAGCATGATTATTCAGATGAGAAGGTTGCAAGACAAAACCAGAAAATCATACGCTTTGTTTTCACTGTGCAAATTCCTAAGTCCAAAGCTGTTGACGATGTTCATCTATCCCTAAATCCAAAGCTGTTGATGGTGTTCCTCTATCCTAGGTCCTAAAGGTGGTTACGAGATGCTGACACTTCCTGCAGAACCAGGAACTTCTAGCCCTGAGGAACCTGGTGAGTAAAGATCTTTGCAGACAGTTGCATTAGAGGACCCTAACATCTCCTGTTTCTTTTTTCTTTTCCTTATTTTGTTGTGATCTCTTATAAATTTTATCTTTGAGGTGGTGCCCTTTGAGCGTGTCAGCTTTACATGCGTGCCCAGGCACACACGCATTTATCTTGGGGCTGTGTTTGTAGTGCTGGCTTTCTTTCTGCATTATTTATTGCACGTTTCAGAGAACGGTGCCTACATGGGGTAAAAAGAATGAGTAACTAACACTTGCTGAAAGAAAGGCTAAAACACCAGTTTCAAATACCATTTCCTTCTTCCCATCTGAATTGTACTATCTTTTCCTTTCTTTCTCCCCCTCATTTCAGTGCCACCACATTTTCTCTTTTACTCTTCTCCTGTTATTTGCTTAACTGCCTTTTTTCTTACTACTGTTTCCCCCTTTTCTCTCTCCAAGCAGTTAAGGATATTCTACTTATTCTTTCAGAACATTGTGACCATGCATTTTTGTTCTGGTTTTCTTTCAAATTCTCCTTCCATAATGATCTCAAATACTGGTCCTCTGGCCTTTCTTGTAAGCACCTTCTGCCTCTGTCAACAGACTGCTGAAAGCACTTTCTCCATAGCTCTCTGTGTGTGCTGTGTTTGCTTAATGGGAGCTTTTGATCGTCTTGTGCTTTTCAAATAAACCTTTTCCTTCAAACAAATATCAACCAGTTTTTATTGTCTAATGAGGTTTTTTCATTTGAAGGAAAAATAAAAAGCCAAGAATTTTGATGTTTACAAAGAAATCACAGTTTCTATTAAGACTGCACAGACTAAACAACAGAAGACTTTTTTCCTTTCCTTCCATTCTAGTTTGCCCAACTTTGTTCTTGGATTTGTTTATTTTTTTTCCTTTGAGCAGAATGTTGATTGTTGCCAGGGGTTTCTTTGTTGTGTGCCTCTTTTGCTTTTCTTGCACAAAGCATCACCAATAAATATATTTTTCTCCATGTGCGGTTTTTTAATTCTCAGGATAATCACTTGTCTTCATCAAGTATGACGTTCAGCTTCCTAAAACCTTTCACCTGCTTAGCTCTATAGAGAAGTTTGCTAGTTTTCATGCTAGCTGGCTTTGAGGAAGCTTTGCTTAAACTCCTGCTACATCACTTCAACGGCGTATAGAAAGACTTTAAAAATAATCTTTTCCTTCGTGACTCTGTATCAGTCCTTAAGATTGTCACTTGCTCACAGATTTAACTATTTGGGATGCAGGCTCTCAGTGCTGTGGTTCTGCTGAATTCCTTTTGGCACAGTCAGGACAAATTCCTTTGAAATACTTTAGATGGAATAATTGAGAATAATTTTGGGGAATGATGTTGATATAAGAATTTCTTCTCTTTGATTTCCCCCCCCCCCTTTAATTTTGTTCCTAGCACCTGGCTTTGGAACAAGAACTTGAAGTCTGACTGTCAAAAAATGTTCAGTTGCTTCATGGATGCTCCTGTTTCTTTATGAAAATCTGTCAGAAAATAGGCCAACTTTCTAGGCTTTTAAAATTTTGGACTGCCTAGCAGACTTCTTTAATTTCAGTAGCTTAATCCTGTAGAAATTCCATTGTCCTGAAACCTGCTGTAGCCTCTGACAACTCTTACTGTTGCCCAACTTTTGTGACCTCTCTTTGCTATTCATAATATAGTCCAAGACAAAGAAAAAGTTCCCCTTAATGGTTATCCACAGCTGCTGTTGGTTGGATATATCCATTCTCTCCTGGGCTCTAAAAAACCTTGATCACCTACTACCTCTCCTCTCATGTCTCACCAGAGTCTGAATGGGCAGAAAAGCAGTGATTTGGACAAATAAAGTTTTGTTTTGAGTTTTATCTGGGGACAAGGAATGGTTTAATGGGAGAAATTGAAGGAGAAGGGAGAACCTGAAGGTGATACCATTTTTCTCTGCACTCCTTCATCCCAGATTGTCTGAACAGCAGAAAGTGTTTAAGGATAAGAACTTCAACGGGACTGGAGAGGCAGGTGATTACTCACCTGCTGAGTAGGACAAGGAGAATGTGACTCAAAGCCTTGCCCAAGCACAGAGGGAATACAGGTTTGTATTTGGGTTTCCTGTAGCCCAGGTAATTCTGGGAAGTCTCTTGGTATTCATGGACTGAGAAACTAGACGTAGGTGCCTGATGTCAGTTAAGGGGTTGAAGGCTGAAAGGCCTGGTGGGCCAGTGAATGGAACCTTCTGCCTTCTCTTAGTTTCACTTCTGATAAGGTTAGAATAATTGAAAGTAGGGCTAGAAGAGGTCTTGCGAATTCATCCAGTAGACAAAAAACATTGTCTTTAAGTCATAATTGCTTTATAGAAAACTCTTTCATAGTAGGTGTTAATTTATCTTTTTTTTAGAAATTTCTAGGTGCAAGTTCTTCAGCCTCTGTGGGATTTCCTCTAGTGGTTTTGTGATCTTTACTGTTAGAAAGGTTTTCCCACTGTCTAATCTTTTATTTTTTTCCTGTTACTGAAGTCTTTTATTACTTGGTCTGTTCCCAAATGCCATCATTCCTGTCTTTTTCAACTCAGTACAGGGAAGCTGTCAGTGTTGTCTCCTCAGGCTTGCCTTCCCCTTGCTTTCAACAGTCCTTCAGTCCCTGTTTTTTGGGACATACTTTCTGAACTTCTTGTGGTTTTCATTGCTCTCTTGCAGATGATATAATAGCCCGCATCTTCCTAGAACAGATTGCTTTATGTAAGTCTTTAATGACTTGAGGTAGAGATGGAGGTCTCATGAGGGAGCGTTGCATACGTTGCTTCTGTCTGAAAATTTCTGCATACTGGTTGCTTTCTGTCCCAACACAGTGGGGTCACTGGCTGTGGTGGTCTGCCTGCTCAGTCCCTGGGGATGTTTTCTGTAGAAACCTTACTCTTCTCATGTCCCATCTGTGACTGAGGCAAGATGTTGGGCCAGATGAGTTGTGGCTGCAGAATGTTTGCTTTCAGAACATTGGACAAAACATTGCGTTTTTGTGAAATACCTCATCGGTCGTTGTGAACAGTGTCTATAATAACGTGTTACCTATTTTAGAAGGGGCAGTAGGATATTCAGCTGATGCACCAGACCGACCCCACAGTGAGACAGCCACCTATGTTAATATTCCTGTCAGCCCTACTTCCAAAAAACAACTTCATTACATGGAACTGGAACTTCAGGAACCCAGCACAAGCATAAGAGGTAAGGAAGACTACAGTACTGTTTAAACAGCAAGGGAAGTAATAATGCTGGCTGTATTGGGAATCTTCAATTCTCATCTACCCATAGGCTTTGCTAATAGAGGAGTAGAACCCTGCTAAGTTTGTGAGGCTGTTCTTGAAATTGCCCACGCTTTTGGAAAATATTTTTAAGTAATGAGGTTCTATAAGGCGTTGCATCCCCCTGACAGGAGCATTGTATATGCACTCCTTCTAAAGGGAACATTTCTGTGTCTGTGGAGTTTGACAGACTGTAATTTCCTTTGTGCTCTCAAGGTTTTCATCACACGTATTAGGACTACGCTTAATTTTTCTTCCTTGGCTTCAGAAACAGGGCTGTGGGTGTAGGCATACAGGGCTTGTTCCTGATGATGACGACTCTGGAGCACTGCAGCAAATGCTTAAGAATAGAACACTGTTTTTACTATCCACTCTCCGTGAGGATGTGTGAAAGTGCTACAGAGAGGAAGCCACCTCAAGTATTGGAAATTTTTTTAAATTTTTTTTTAAATTCGTTTGTCTGTATCTGGGTATTTTACTTCTAATGCTTAACTTGGACAATTAGCAAAAAACCATGCATTATAGCTACCATGCATTGTCATGTAGAGATGCATTCCTTCCTACAGAAAACCCTTAATCAGGATCTGGCGTTTAATTGCACACATCTGGTATTGATGGTTTTCCATTTATAGTTTTCAGCTGTTGAGATTTGAACCTTTATACTTTTAATTTTTTTTTTTTTTTTTATGATTACATGGCTCTAGTTAGGTAATTCTAAGCTTTTCCCAGACTTTATTGTAGTTCTCTGTACAACACCCTATTGAGATGTAAAAGTGATGTTTTATCTGCATTTTAAAGGCAGGGGACCGAGGTATTAAGAACAAAGGACTGAATTCCATAAACTGACATAGGCTTTCCTAAATGTCAACCACCAACCCATGCTCATCGTGTAAAACTAAGGTGCCTCTAATGACCATAAATACTTTATCTTTTCATACTAAAGTTCTCCCAGGCCAGAGATGTAGGTCTGCACCCACACAGAACTGTTCTGCTCCTGAGCTGACCAAACAGCTTTTATCTCCTTTCTTGCCAGCTATTGAACTAAATTGTCATTCTGTCTAAACCTGGAAGTGGTTGATCTGGTAAACATCCAGAGTGCCTAATGTGGACAAAGAAGAATGCCTGCCAGCGTTCCCACCGATGGTGTTTTCAGATACCAGATGTTGCTCCCTTACTGACTAGTAGCCTGCTGCTGTTTTCTGGGGGGAGTGGGAGTCGAGATTCAAACCTGGGGCAGAAATAAAAGTGGTTTCTTTGCTTATTTGAAGAAAGCCAGATAGCTAACCTCTGTAGATACAATACTTTTGAGCCTTTTATTTTTCAGTTGTGATTATCATCTTGCTCCTTTTATAGAGCTTGCTTTAAGACCAAACCAAGACCATGTAGGAAATCTGTGGAAAAAGTACCTCAATAGCTTAATCCTGAGCCAGTTTTACCAAGGAATATATGAGGGGTCTAGTGTTTTACATGTTTTCATTTGGTATTTCAGGGACTGGATCATCCCGATATGCACAGATTGACATTGCAGCCACCGAGACAGCCCACAAAGTGGGAACGCAGCATGCTCAGTGCCGGGAGGAACGCTTGCAGGAGCTGGAGCAGAAGAAGAAAGGGGCTCAGCAGTGACCTGTCTAGGAAAGAACTTTTTGCTCACCGTAATTTGGTACTAATGTATGTTCCAAAAGATTGATCTTTATGGTAAAAAGTACTCCAACAAACACTGCTACTGCTTATTGCATTTATACCAGATTCGTTCCAATATCATGATTCCTAATTGGAAAGCTGGTAGCATGAGGTGGGTGTGTGGTCAGTCTTTTTATTTTAATTTGGTTGCAAAGTCCAGATTATTTTTTCATATGCAATGAAAGATGTAAATTACCTAATTTACAATTTACCAATTCTAAAGTCCTGGAAGAAACCTGGAACCAATTCCAGAGTTTATTAAATGGTGGCATTTTCTTTAAAAATAAGAAACTTGAATGTGTGCAGATAAGGGAACGTGAGTGTGTGTTGTATGTGTACACCTGTGTTTGCGTGTGTGCGTGTGTATGCTTGCAAGTAAGCACACATTAGTGATAAAATATATGTATATATCTGAGAGTATGGAATGTGTAAAACCTCTATTAATATATTACTGGCTCTTACAAAAGCAAGAAAATTCAGTGCCTGATTTTTTGCAGGCAGATTTTTGTGCAATTTATATGCTTATTTAATGGACATGCTTAACGTTACCGATAAGTAATTCAGTTTTATACCTCACCAAGAGCTCTGCAGCTTTGGCTAAAGTTGCTCAGCCTTAAGAGCTGCCGTGTCAGGGATGCGTATGAGTATGCATACAGACAAGAGCACACACAGACAAGTTATTTAATCTAAGGATGCCTATAAACCAAAGTAATTCGAAGGGACATTTTAGGTGCTTCTGTTCTTAAAAACCCTGTTTTAGACGCCATAAGCTTTGTTTTCATAGTATCTGTAATTCTTAGCAATTTTCCTGGTGTTGAACACACACATCACTTTGAAAATCAGGTCTAAAGTTTCTCATACAGAATTTCTTAAAATCAGGGCACGCAAAAGAAACATTAATTTTGAAAATGGAGTCCTTTGTTTATATCTCCAAAACTGTGCCTAATGTAAACCAGCATCAACATCGCAACATCCACCTTGAGGCTACAACTTTCATAGAATAATTCTTTGCTATCCCTAAATAGCATAAAACCAGTTCTGCGTAAGAGCGTGATTACTTCAGAGAGGCTACAGAATTGAGGCACAACAGGGTGTTCTGTTGTAATATATGTTTATCCACAAGTCTTTGACATCTTGCCTTGTACAATATGTCAAAGACTTGCAGATAAACATATATTACAATCTCTCAATTTCGTGAGATTGTGTGATTCGAAACTTTACTTTGTTTCTTGTGTTGCATTGTTTCTGTAATTCTTGTGTTCTGTGTATTTGTCCTGATACAAAACATTACTCAAATAAAACGTTATGGCACTGACACAACAGAGCAGTGTACTGATGGAAAAAAAAAAAAAACACCAACCAAACTAAATTTTGGCCTCCTATAACATAACAGCTTTGGCTTCCAGAAATTATCAGTACTGCTATCTTGGGTATCATAATTTTTTGACTATGTCCTCTTAAGGTAAAATATCACAGCCCAGTTCTGTTTTTCAGATACGCGCTGTAATTCATATTGCTGAGTGAAAGTTTTGTGCCAGTGAGGGTTTCAGTAAGTGATTGGAAGGAGAGGTGGGTGTTTGTTTCTATAAATTCATTTGAATGTAGCCTCAATAGTAATGTAAATCTCTCAAATAAACAAAAAATACATGTGAGAGTTGACAATTGCCATTGTCATCTGTCCTGTGCTAAGAGGTACTTTTCTGTTTATCAGCCTTGCATATTTTTAAAGGGAAAGAAATATTCCCTATGTGATTCCCAGTTTAAAAGATTTTTCTTATTTGGCAAATGCACCGTGGTGAACTGCTGTGTAAACAGATATTCAGCTGGACTTACAGCTCCTTGGGACCAGGTTTATCTAACTGAACTGCTATTCCATTAAGGATCCTCCACTGGAGGGTTTGCAGGGTTCAATCTCTTGCTGGGTGCCTATTTATATTTAATATTTAAAATGAGAACTGCTTGCCTGATGCACTGAAATGCAGTGTTTTCTGTCATATAGAATGAAGCTGCAATATTTCTATCATAAAAACCTATTCACCAGGAAAATACGTTACCCAGGTTTTCGACAGGCTACTTTTGTGTACGTTGCTCAGTTGCTTGCACTGAACGCTGGACTTGCAGCACGGCTAAAGATGTGACGCACAGTAAAGGCCATCAGATTGCTGCTGGCCTTACAGGAGGAGTCCTGATCTTAAAAACATGTTTTTTAGGTTGAACCAGGCTGAGGATCTCTACATGTGCATGGTTCTCTGGGCACATGTACCTGTGTGTCGCAGTAACTTCAGCTAGGATTAGCTAAATGGCTGGATATAAATTTATGCTTATTGACTCTGTTAATATTAACAGAATTATCGTATGAGACTTTCCACAAATGGAGTAATTAACTTTTTAGACTTCATTTCTCTTTTTATACTTAGCCTGAATAAGGCAAATAGAACAGATGAATTTCACTTCTTTTTAAAATTCACTTTATTCTCATGCTCTAAATTATGTTTAGGACGCTGAAGCAGGAGGCCAAACCTTACCGTTGCATGTATTAAAAACTGGTTGGTGGTTGTTTTTATAGTGCCTCGCAGGCCTCCTCGTCAAGTTACAAGTTTTGACATTTCTGTTGAAGCAACTAAAGTTTTCTCATTTGAACAAGAGGAGCTCACGGAAACGGAAAACCTTTTTCCTAAATAAAATAACGTGCCTTCAATTTTCCAGTGGCAAACTTGGGAAAATGGAAGTCAACCCATAATTCTTTGAGCAGGCTTGTGCTCACCACGTAGCTTCTGTGGCTTAACTCCAGTACCACTGTTAATGTAAGAACAGTAGGGGTTAATTCCCACGCCTGGCATAAAACTTGCGCGTCAGTGATCTAAAACACAGCTTGTGATGAGTGCAGATTCAGAGCTCTTTGCAAAGAAACCGAAAGATCTCCCGTGTTTCTGGAGGTAAGTGTCATTCTTAACTTCTGCTGGTCGTTTTTAATTTAGCATTCTACCAGAGTCAGGTCTTCTCCTGCCCTGGCCAGGAGCACAAGGAATTCATTCTCAGAAGAACAAACCAATGTGATGTGGCTGATACTGCTGTGAGATGTTCTTGAAGTGCTCTGACACGGCAGCAGTGCTCTCGGCGCTGAGGAAACACGCCGTCAGCGAGCGCAGTGGTTGGGCATAACCGTCAGCGTTGTGTACGTACCTCTTCCTTTCTGATAACCCTACTCAGGAGGTTGCTGCTGAACGGAACGATGACTTGAGTGGGTTTGACGGCGCTGTTCATAAGCTGTTATGAAACATTTTTATAAGCAACTGTTTGGGTGATGGAATTTCTCCAAGTTAACATGTGCTGCAGGATGGAGGGCTGGAGTTTGGACGCATTTAATTGCCCAACAATGCAAATAGTTGTCTGGGTTTTAACAGTGCTGCAGCACCTAATCGTGGAAAATGCCAGTAGGTGTCTTTAGGCATCTAAATGTGTGTGAAAAGCTGTCCCAAGAGTTGTTTTTAGCAAACAGCTTGGAAAAATTCCTCGTTTTCCTCTCTGCTGTAATTTTGATTAGTACAGCTTGGAAGACTAGACTCGAATTTGAATTATGAGTGATTACTTCTTTTTATGAGGTGCCAAAACATGCACCCTCCAGTAAATACTTTCTCTAGTCTGCCTGGGATAACACACATGCTCTTAGCTAAAGTGACCACAGGAAAAAGATGGAATTTTATGGCTTACTAGGCACTCATTTCTGTTAAAATTATGCATTTTTTTTCAGATGCAAGTGTGTTCTATTTTTATGTCACCTTTTCTCTGGGAAGATGTTCAGCTGTCATTCGGCCAGTCATACAAATATTATATTTTGCACTCTACACTGAAAGAAATGTTAGTTTAACATCATAGAGCAGTAAGAACAAACAAAGTAGGGTAAGGATGAAAGAATTAGAAGTTATTAAATGGAAACCTGTTAGGAGTAGCTCTGTAAACGTGTCTTTTCAGTGTTGGTGAGGAGAATTAAGGAAAAGTCTGTTTTTAAAAAATTTGGATGGGTTCTGGTGAGTTCAGTTTTATCCTTTCCCTGAAAGATGCCAGGCATCAGGGCAGCCTTACTCTGAGGCTTAGGTTAGTGATGATCAGGTGGTTACAGACTAAAACCAACTCTCCTGTGGACTTTCTTTGAAAGGCTGGAATATAAGTGACAGGAAAAGACATGCAATCCACATCCTGGATTCCGATACAATAAATGGCTTTATAAGGCAGTGGGCAGGTTTTGGAAAGTGCAGCTGCCAAGTAAACTTTGAGGTTAGTAAAAACTTCAGGGGAAGTGAAAGTTAACTGTAAAACTTGCTTTCAAACATTTTTCTGCATCAGAGCATCTAGAAATAATTCGGATTTATTATCCCACTGTGTACACAGAGGCGTATGTAACATCACCGTTTTACCGAAATAATAAGCATCAACTTATTTGAGGAATGTGCAGTTGGGGGTGGGATCAGATAGCAGATTTAGCATGACAGTAATTTGCCCTTACAGCACATTATACTGTTGTGAAATCCCTAAAAAATAAAAAACCCTAGCATCTGCTATTGTATGAGTTAAATTTTACACCTCTGTGGGCTGAGCTGGCAATTTACAGAGAGTTCATGTACAGAAAATAGAGCAGATTGCATGCTCGGAAGGGAATCTGGCCTTTGGATAGCAAAGTTGTTTTATGTAATGAAATGCTGAGATTCATCACACCTTGGTGTCTCCGCTACAGCTGGGAGATGTACCCATGGACTGCCTTTGGCTGCTGCAGCAACACGCTGTCCTTTGGCTACCAGCAGTGCTGGACACGAGTTGGGAAGCATGGGAAAAATGAATATTGGGAATTTGATGGAGAAGTAGGTAGAGGTCGGAAGAGAGCTGGAAAGCAGCAGCTGTCCTTTGCAGTGACAGAAGGGCAGCAGCAGGGGGACAGAATATGAGACTGGAGTGTGGGCCAGCGCTGGAGACGTGCCGGCTGGATTGCGGCCGCTTCCACAAAGCGTGGTTGTAGCAAGGAAGTGGAGTTTCCTGGAACAGGCCCAGGTTGCGGTTGTGTCCTCGGTCATACAGGAGATGCGCTGTCACTGTCTGTACCGGGAACGGAGTGGAAACTGTGGGATGGTTAAAGGCAGTGTCCCCTCTGAAGAGGCAGACTGTCACACTCCACGTCTGACAGCCTGCGTCTAACCGTCCTTCCATCAAGTCATGCAAACGGTTCAGGTTTGTGCTGTACATACAGTCCAGACCTTAGATGGAATTATCCTCCATCTCCATTTTTTTTTGTCTGTGGAAAGTATCTGA